AGCCCAGATAGGGGGTGGAAAGAGAGGAGGGGGACGAGGCAAATATCAGAATACAAATGTGGTGTGATTGATTAATATTGTATGACAGCACTCTCTTTCCTGTGAAAAGTCTGGCGAGGCCATTATAAATCAATGAATGACTAGGAAAAGCTTTACAGAGGAATAACTTTCCATAACTTATTCAAAAAGACAGCGATATGTTTTTTCATATTGTTGGACCTCCAAACAGATTACTTGATAACGATGCCAACAAAGAAATAGTTGATGTTTCAGGAAATAAACTCAATCAAGTTCTTGTCAAGATTTTGCTGAAAAGATTGATACCACACTCGTACATTTACACATTTAATGTGAAGCTGGAGACAGCAGCTGGATATCTTAGCTTAGCATTAAGAGTGGAAATGGGAGAAGCAGCTAGGCTAGCTTGCATAAATAAATACAAGAGGTATCAAACATCTCATCATACTCATGAGACAGTGCACTTCATGAAATGTGATGCTAAGACTTTAGAGGGGAACATTTAGTGTAGCCTAATTCAATATCTTCATTTAAATGTAACCAATACCTCTCACAATTGAGAAAGGAATCAGGCTTTTTTTTAACGTCAAAATGACCGATGGGAACGGTGAAAATGATATTTTACTTAATACATCTTCAAAGGGTCAAATCAAGCTTAGGACTGACAATTGATATTGATATTTAAACACAGAAAAAGCAAACAGCCCAAAGGCAGGTAATAAACAGACTAATGTCCTCTGGGAATCTGACTGTGAGCAAGAAAATGTCACTTGGCACCAGTGGATTTCTATATCTGTTTGGCTTATGACATTTGGTCGGCATTTGAGCTCCCAGTTTGGGGATTCATTTTCAAATTTGATTTCTACAGCAAATAAAGAAAGCATAAAGCAACTGTGGAGGATCTATTTACTTCTTATAATCTTGTTATTTTACTGCTGTTTTTTAAATCAGTATTCCAGTCTATCTGACCTGCACTGTGAAAGAAGTTAACAGAAATAAAGATCTATATTGTGAAAGTAAATTTATGGTTCAATATAACCATTATCTTCCATTGTGGTTGCTTTAATATGTAAACACATTTGTTTTCTCTATGGTGCTGTCTTAATCTTTAGTCTTAAAAATGTAGTCTCCTTTCAATAGAGAGCAGATCTGATTATTTAACAGACAACCTGATAAGACCTGCTTCAAATAATCAGAGGCAAAGAGGAAGAGTTTCCCCCTAGAAAGAGAGCATCTGAGAGAAAATAGAGGAGAGAAATAATAATACAGCCAAAACAGACAAAATAGCTGCATAGCTATTACACTTACGTAAAGGATAGTGCACATCCATTTTGCAAGCATCAGCAGCTGGCTCTGTGGGGGGAATCTTGGATCAAATTTAATACATACATCCTCTTCTAGGGGGGGCTTTAGGATATCTGCAAGACCAGAAGGTCACCTATAGAGCCTATACAAAAGAGCTGGAGTGATAGTGCACTTAAAGCCTGCTTGCTCTTAGCAGAACAATCTGGTTCCCTTGAAATGAAAAAAAAGAAGGAAGGGAGAAAGATCATTGCAGACTCATTAAACAAGACATTTAAGAAATCACAGCGGGAAAAAAACAGTACAAAAGGGTGTTTGAGAATTGAATAAGACTCAGGTATGTTAGTAAAATTGCACTATTTGTGGCACAACGGCGACATCTAGTGGTATTCCTTTATTTTGCAGGATTTTCCGCCAGTGCAATAACCCCCCCACTCCCAATACGTCAGTGTGCTGAAGGTAGATATGTAACAAAATGGATTCAGTGTTATTGAGACTCAATAAATCACTAATGGTCCAATGTAATGTGTCTTTTATAATTGTCTCTATAACATAAAGGAATACATATTGATGTAACAAAGTATTTATTGGTAAGTTATTTTAATTTAATATTTTCTGGTGTCCTTAATCTTGTGCTTACATGTTCTAAATAAAGAAATAATTCATTCATTCTTTGAATGTGCAAATGCACCCATACTCTTAAAAAACTCCAGAACAACTTATTATTAAATGAATCCTTACCACCAAGAGAAGTAAATCACTTAAAGTGTATTATAACATTCACCAAACCAGCTGGTGCCTCATTACTTACCATCAGTTTCTTGCTTTATTTTTAAACCTCAGTGATAGTACATGACTCATGGGCCAAATTGCAGCCTTAAAGAGGTGAAACTTAAGTCTTTATCACATTTTTGAGTGAATCCGACCAAATTAAAATACCAAACAGGAGGTTTGTTAAGTGTGATTTCTTTTTTTGTTGACTTTTTTTTCAAAACACAATTTATTTAATGTTTAGGTGCGTCTTTTAGGGCTAACAGGTCACCTTCACTCCCATCCAGCTCCAAACAAAGTAGCTGATTTACACAACCTGGAAAATGTAAAGCTCATCTGCCTCTTGTGCAAACAGACCATGTCCTCAATTGTCTCTGAAATGAATCAGTGCAAACTCAAATTACAGAGTGTGTACAAAGTTTGAAGCTCATTAAAAAGACAAAACAATTTCAATTAATTCAGTTCTCCAAACAACCCTCCCTGTTGATAATCCACGAAGCAGCCTCGGGCTTGGGAAGCAACAGACTCACTATTTACCAGAGAGTAAATACCCAAGACGTTTCTAAAAACAACAACCACAACAACAAAAACCCCAAACGTAAAAACTAGATAGACCTTTAATTAATCTTAAGAACTGGCACACATGGAGAAAGAAGATGAACAAGGAAGCAGGGGGTGATTCACTTCAGGTGTTAATACAACCTTTTACGAGACTGTTTTGCATGTTTAAAAAAAAAAAAAAAAATCTCATGAATGCAACAGTTGGACATTTTTTAAGGTTTGTTTCTGTACAGTATGGTATGGAAATGAAAATGTAGAGACTGTAAACTTAATCTGGATAGGTTATTCTAAACAGCTGACAACTGCTAGTAATAGTAGTGGTATGTCATTTATGATATATGTCACTGCACTGTAGACCACTGTTATGGAGGAAATGAAATCCATACGACTGAATGTGATCAAATATTGACATTTTGATGTCATACTGTGGATTATGTTTGTCATTTGGCGCATTAGAGGCAATATGTTGCACATGCAACATTTTGAATATTATTTGAGCAAAAATCAGATACACCCTATAAGACATATCGTGGAGCAAAGACTTCCTAAAAAGAGAGTGAAGTCAAACCCTCTGGATTTGCTGCTCTAAGCTCTGTGTTCACACTCACTGGACGATGCTTCCGAAAGCTAGTTGTCTCACAGACACTTGCTGGTGTAACAGGATGGGAGAAATGTTGAGACAAAGAGGAGTGTGGGGATCTGAGGGAGGAAGGAAGTGTGTTGAAAGAGAGAGTTTGTTTCAGTCTGAAAATCTGCTGTGAAAGTTAAAGTCATGGTAAGCCTTTAAGATGCTGCCCTGAAACCTTTGACAGCAGGTTGTCATTGACGCATAACAGAACATAACTTACTTACAGAACTAACGTTATCGTAAACTAGTTTCGGGCTTCAGCAAGCTGATATTTGTCATTTCTGCCAAAAAAGTAGAAAATCAATGTAAAATTATGACCTGAAAAGTAATTATATCTCTTTTTAGCAGATGGACACAATAACACAAAACCATGTGTACTGGCCTTACAATCGGGAATTTATTATCAGTAGAAATCTGGCCTCATAAATTCTCTTAAATTTGTATATAAGGTGAACCCAGGGAACTCCTTTTTTAGATTAAAATGAAATGAATGATTGTGCAAAAGAACATTTTGTAGCTCAAACAGACTCGATGTATTTATTAATAAACCTAAATATATAACAGTTAATTATCTGAATCCTGACTGATTTCCCCACAGACGAGTATGGCTGAAGTTAGATGATTTCGAGGTGAATGAAAAAAAAACACTGCAAAAGTGTGTCGACCCAATCATAGAATGATAGAATGTCAAGGGTTTTATTAAACTGCCATTTTATAAACAAGATTAGAGTACACATTTCCCCAAAAACAGTAATACCCCTAAAACAAAGTTTGAAATGTAGCTCTTGAGCACTGTTAATCCACTTTGACCAAGTTTTAGTTCTGTGATCTACAAAGCAGATAACAGGTTAAAAACAGTTTGAAAACCAGAGAAACTTGAAGTATTTACATAAAAGTACAGTATAGTTCAGAGGGATGCTGACGTACATGGATGTCATGTTTCTCACATCTCAATCTGTTCAATTGTTATACCTAATTGAGTTAATGATTCAGTTCTCTACAGACCTCTGATTTTAATCACCTATACATTTGTTATCTTTTAGACCTCTTGATTTTTCTTTGCTCTGCCTCATGTTTACCCGAGTTCTTCCCACTGCTCTCATTGCTGTACCTCCTTTTCTTTGTCACTTCTTCTGGGTCAAAATCAGAGTCAATGTCCTCCTTTGGTCCTCCTCTTGATCCCCCTTTACTCTTCCTCATTGGTCCGCCTTCTTCTTCTTCTTCTTCTTCTTCTTCTTCTAAGTCAAAGGATACATTACTGTCTGACTTCTCATCCTCAATTTTCTCAGTGCTCGAAACCGTTTTATTTGACTTCTGCAAATTTGTTTTTGTAGGCTTATTGTTTAAACCTCCAGCTTTTGGCCGTCCTCTGGGTCTACCCGTGGTCCTCTTTTTACTTTTAGGTGCTTTTTTTATCTGTACCTTCTGCACCTCCTCTCCTGTATCGTGCCGTCCTTCTACATTTTCTACCTCAGATTCCGAGTCTATTTGATTTCCATTGTCTTCAGCATCAGCAGCCTCACTTTCCCTTTTGACTTTCTTTCTTTTGTTACGATCAGGCCCCGAGCTCGATGTGTGGTAACGCTGGACATGACTCTTCAAACTCACGTTGTGATTGAAGCATTTGTCACAATGCTGGCACTTAAAAGGCCTCTCTCCTGTGTGAAGGCGCATGTGAGACTTCAGGTTGCTTGCCTGGTTGAAGCCGCGTTCACAAACTGAGCACTTGTACGGTTTCAGTCCTGTGTGCACAACAGAGTGTCTCTGAAGATGATGTATTTGACTAAATTCAATCCCGCAAATTCCACATTGGATTACATCCGGGGTCTGTGATTTGACAGGTGCTCGTTTCGTTCTTTACGGGTGGTGAATGTCTTTGGACAGTCGGGACATTTGTAGGGATCATTGTTAACTTGATGAAACTGCTCGTGATTCAGTTTGTCCATCCTCGTTTTGAAAGTAACATTGCAGTATTTACACGGATGTTCGTAGGTTTCATCGTGGATCCTGCTATGACTTTTCAGAGAAATCTCGTTGACACATCTTTTCCCGCAAATGTTACAGGAGAAGGGTTTAATTTTGTGCTCACATGTGTGAGGCTTTTGACTATAAAAACTACCACACTCTGTGCAGAGCTCATTAATTTTGAGGCCCCATCGGTAATCAAATTCTTCTTCATCTTCTTCATCTTCTTCTTCTTCTTCTTCTCCTCCTCCTCCTCTTCGCTCTCTTCTTCAGACGCCTTTACAGGCAAAAAATCATGCGTCGGATTCCAATCCTCATCTGAACTCACCCGGTCTTGGTCGTCTTCCTCTTCCTCTTCCGAGGTATGGCCTTCTTTACCATTCAAAGTATCAGTTTCAGAGAAAACGTCTTCGTCTGATGCCATTTCCTGTGAACAATACAATGACAGGAATGAAAACATAGCAGGGGGAACGTTTTTCCTGTCTATACAGAAGAGAAAATTAACACCAAATTCTTTCATGATATATCATTTTGATGTAACAGTGTTTTAGGCCTTGTTATGAATTAAACCTATAAGAGAGTAACATATGTTTAAAAGAAAAGACAAAACAGTTAGATGTGTTTAGATTGATTTGCACAGTCTTATCTCAGATCCATTAAATTCATTTTGCCTATCTCAAGCAGTCTTTGTAGCAGCTCTGTGTTACAGAGGGCTATCTTTCTCTACAGAAGTTATCAATCCAGCTGCTCTGATACTGACTCACAATAGTATGCTACAAGGTGCGTATGGTATTACAGCTGTATAGCCTTTCTCCATGGATGAGAGGGAAATTAAAAAAAAAAACACACAACACGACCTTTCTGGAGCTCTTTTCGTTATAAGAAAGCATTTTCTGCAGTGTGTTTGATTATTTAGGTCGTACCTGTTCAGTGTTTCCCCTACCATTATATTAGGGGGGCGGTGGCGGGCTTAAAGGTCAAGTAAAGGTTACTTGAAGGTCAAGTAGTTTTTTTTTTTAAATTTATTTTTGGGGCTTTTTGTGCCTTTATTGTAGAGATAGGATAGTGGATAGAGTCGGAAATCAGGGAAAGAAGTCATTTAAGGATACCTTTCTGATAGAAAAGGACAGCTGTCATTAAAAGTAACACATGAACACCAAGATTCATTCAAGTGTTTGTGTCGGTGTGTCTCCCCCCCATCTCCAAACGCTGTAAACCTAAGGGAAACACTGCTGTTGAGTGCTCACCTAACTGTGACCTCAAAAGTGCTGAGTGGATAAATCAGTGTGCTTTTAAACATCTGTCAGTAATAGTTAAAAAATGTGAAGATTAAAAGTTCATATTAGTTCATCTATAGGCTAGTTTATATTGTAAGAATAGGTAGGGGTGGGATTAAAGGGATGTTGACTGTCAAAATTAATTATATCACCAAAACATATGTATCAAAGTATCGTTACAACCTAATTTTCGTTAAATAAGCCATTATACATTACGTGGACTTTGGACACAAGGAATGAGGATTTGGCCTGTTTTTAGGATTTATCACCTGAGAAACTAGTTAGTTAATAAGCCATAACATATAAGTCCTTAAAAAAAGAAAATAATAGCGTGTGGTCTTCTGAGATATTTCTTCTGACATGTGTTTAGTGACAGATGTTACAGATGTGTCTGAGCAGATCTCACCGGTGACTGTGCGTCCTCCGGAGCCTCGTCTGTGTTTGCCTTGATAAACAGAGACGGGACTGCACTGGACTTGAGCTGAGCCGTGCCATTCTTACAAGTCGGTTTGACAAAACAGTCTTTAGTAAAGTGCGCCCGGCAGATGGTTATATCAGTCCAGTCTGACTCTTTAAATCTTTGTTCATTTACTTCGAAGAGGAACTGAACCCACTCAAACCTCCTGTCTGGATCTTCTGGTAACTTGAACCTTTGCACGCCGATATGCCCCGAATAACATCCAACAACCGAGCACATATTGACTTTTGTTTTGTTCCCTTTGCTGTAAGAGTGGCTCCTCGGCGTTTAGTTGTAAGAAGAAGTGTTTGTTGAAGCTCCTTGATGACTGCTTTCCAAAGCTAACAACAACAACGACCAGCTAAGGGTTAGCCCTTCTGCTAGCGACTGTTAGTGACGGAAGAGCGCAGAGAGACGTCACTTCCTCCTTGTGGACTCGTCAACGCCCCTTATTGGTTGAAATTCCAGACTCAAAATCAGTGCTGTAGAAGTGATGTCCGTAGATTAAAAATCACCACAAGCTTGTTAACATGAAATGCAGCATATTATACTATATCATTATCTTCCTCAAAAGCCAAAGGACATTAAGAGAAGAACTCGTGGGCTTGAATGTGGTGGTGAACAATTACAGACATGGACATTTTCAAAAATCATCACTAAGTTTGAGTCCATGGACTCTGGCCCATGGACTAAATGGGACCCAGTGTTTTGTCCCAATTGGCTTTTGGTAAACCATCACTGTCTTGGTTTAACAGATAAACTGTAAATGGACAGTGTGCCTCAGCCTCCTATCATAGAAAAGTATAAGGCCAAAATATCCCTGTGACAGGCGCAGACTTATTGTGAATTTGCAACATGAGTAGTGCGGATTTGTAGGAAGAACCTATTGACTTAACGCAGCTTACGCTAACACAAACACACATTTAAATGACACATTAGAATATGCAAATATGAAATATATACTTTTCAGATGTATCAGTGACATTAGACTGTTAACAATTAAGAATGTACATTTTCCCAAATGTGAGTCATTATTTTTTTTAATGTCTTTTCATAAAAATAAAAATACACAAAATTGTTCTGTGACAGCCGTAGCTGTCATATTGTCCTTATTCATTAACGGCATACATTTTTTGAGCATGGTTGCACTAAGACGAAGGCTAAAAAGTTTTTATTGCCAATTATTATTCGAAGTATCAGTAATTGTTATGCACATGACAATGATGATCTTGACCTTTTGATGTAGCCTACAGCAGAAGTACCTTAACCCCTCTTCTAATAGCATGTTGGATGCAGTTGAAAGGTCAGTGATAATTACGTTTATTGGTATGTGTATTATAATGCAAGGACATGCAGCAACAGAAATTAACACTAGCACTTAAATCAGTCCTATTTAATTGACTTATAACCAAGTCCATCCCATTGCCAAAGCATCCAGTAACAGAGAAGTCACTTGTAGTTATTCAAGCCACTTAACAGTTAAAGTCAATTCAATTTGAAGCGATCCCTTGCCTACATGGGTACATGTTTTTGTCAGTCAAGTTTGTGTGAATGTCCACTTCACGAGGCTCTCTTCTTATCACAGTTATTTAAATAAAGTTCATTATTCACCTCTGTTGTACTTTCAAGAACAGAGCTCACGATTTTTCCTTGGTCGTCCCCTGCGCTTTAAGCTCTTACCGGTGTTCTGGCAGCTGTACTTCTTTTTACTGTTCGACCTTTTTACTCTCCCCCTTGATCTAGCTATGTTCTGTTTTATCTTATCAGTCCTTTTCTCTTCATCCTCTGCTGGATCAGAGGACATGTCACAGTCACTCTGCTCATCATCACTTTCTTCAGTGCACTGTGTCTTCCTTAAACTCTGCAACCGTTTTGGAGTCTTAGTGTTTGGTTCATCGCTTTTCGGCCTTCCTAAAGGTCTACCTGTGCTTCTTTTTTTATACTTGGGTCGAGATAGTTGCTCCGTTCCCACACTCTCTTCTGGTTCCTGTTTTACCTCTACATTGCCAGGCACTGTAGCTGCAACTCTATTGTTTTGATCCCCCTGAAAGTCAAACGCAGTCCTTGAAGTTTCATTATTGTTATCCGGTTCCCCTCCTAAGTTGAATGAGTGGTAGCGCTGGACGTGACTCTTCAAACTGACATTGTGATTAAAGCATTTGTCACAATGCTGACACTTAAAAGGCCTCTCGCCTGTGTGGAGGCGCATGTGAGACTTCAGGTGGCTTTGCTGGTTGAAGCCACGTTCACAAATTGAACACTTGTGCGGCTTCTCTCCCGTGTGCACAGCTAAGTGTCTCCGAAGAGCGAGGGGCCAGCAGAACTCAATCCCACAGAAGTCACATTTTAACTGTGGAGGGCCTCTGTGATCCTGAATGTGGATTCTGCGTTCCTTATTTTTGGCAAACGTCTCTGGACAGTCAGGACATTTATACGGCTTTCCTTCAACCATGTGGGTCTGCTCGTGAGTGATTTTGTCCACCTTTGTTTTGAATGTAACATGGCAGTATTTGCACCGGTACTCATAGTTTGCATCGTGGATTCTGCTGTGACGACTTAGGGCGTGATCAAAGGCAAACCTTTTTCCACAAATGTTGCAAGAATAAGGTTTAGTTTTGTGCTCACATGTGTGAGGCCTACATTTATTGAAAAACTTCCCACAGTCAGTGCAGAGCTGGCTGTCCTTGTGTGCAATTGGAGGATGATCGTCTTCCCCCTCCTCCTCCTCTTCGTCTTCGTCTTCGTCTTCGGTTTCATCTTCCCCTCTAGTTTTCTGAAGAGGTACTTTAGCCAGCAAGGAATCCTTATCAGGCTTCCAGTCCTCATCTGAATCTACATCATCCTGATCAGATTCATCCGTTTCCTCCATTTGATCGCTTTCTTCATCAATAGAAGCAACAATCTCAGGTACGTCTGTCATACCCGCCTGGGCGTCATCAGTTGGCTCTACCTGTGATATAATAACAAGAATCAGTTAACGTAAGTGTAACATTTTCTAGTAGACAACTTTAAGACAACAATTAAAAGTTTCCTCTCAGTAGCTGGTTGTTCCTGCACATCTGAGAAATAAACACGGGTCTCAATGAGAAGCAGGAAAACATTAAATGTCTATCTGGTTGTCTGTGCAGTAAAGCAACTTTTTTGTTTTTGTTTTAACTCAAATGACATACATCACATTTACTGATCCCCATGGCAACACAGAGGTAACAGACATGCAGGAGAAGCAATAAAAAGACACTTCTCCATCATATCTAACACAGGGTTGCTGAACACTTTCAGAAAATCAAACTAAATTCTTCTTAAGACTTTTTGAAGACCCAAACTAAGAAGAATGATGCCATTTTTGCTCAGCAGAAAAAACAGCAACTAACAGAGGTATGGCATGTTTAACACTTTTTTCTCTGAAATGATTGAAAATGAAAAGCAGTTTTTGATATTTAAGATCGTGAGCAATCATTCCTTCATTCCAATTCTGAACTATGCAGTCCTTTATATATAATTTTTTGTAATATTTAGGAAAAGTGACAATGACTTGTCCTTTTTTTTTTAGTAACTGGGCACCTCTGTACCATCTTTGGAGGTAATCTTTGGTCAGTGAGCCACAGTTCCCATGACCCCCCCACCCTTTGAACAAATGTTTCAATTTGATTCAATTCAGTAAATCACAACTTTTGAAATGGCAATTGTTCTGTAGCAAACCATCTTGTGTGAAAGTAAACAAAATGTTGATCCTATAATTTTATTTGTGAAGGATTGAGGGGATGGATGCATAATTCCTAAGCTTCAAGCAGCCAGTCTGGATATGTTGTTACACACGTCCTACCTGTGGGCTCTCTGGAGTGACTTCTACATATCCTGTCAGGTGTTGCTCTTCATCTGTCGAGATTTTGGCATCGACCTGGCTTGTCCACTGGTTTCGGTATCCACACTGAAGGCACTGTTGGTTAAAGATGATGAGCAGCCCATTGGTGACCTTCTCTGTCTTAAGTTTGCAGCCACACGAAGGGCACTTTGGGTTTAACAACTGGAGGAGGTGTTTTTCATTCACAACGAACTTCCCTTTCATCTGTAGACGTGCGGCTCTAAAAAAAATAGATCACATTTTTTACATTTAAAAAAAAAAACACCTTAAGTTGCAGAGTAACTGTAGCTAACCCAAATGTTAAGCACAGATGTAAAGAAAACTTACTTTTCTCTCATCAGATTAATATTTACATTTCGTGGTTGCACTTGGCCAGGTATTGAGGGCTTATCAGGAGAAGATGAGGCCTTTCTTGGGAATTGGCTTCCTTGGAAAGCTGCAAATTAAGTTAAAGTGATAAAATGGAGTTAAAAGAAAAGTATTTACTTCACATTTAATAGCATATAATAACTTTATCTTACCAATTGGATTAACTCCAGATCCTTCAGAACTGGAACTTGAACTATCACACGATCTGTCATTGTCCTGCTGACAAGCACCTTCAATTGTTTCCAAAGACTCCTAAACAAAGTAACAAACAAATACAACATTTAGAATCCTTAAAATCTCGTCACTAAACAATCTAGCACTGCTTGGTGCAACAATAGGCATTAAGGCAGTCAAAGTTTTCAACACTTGGCTCCTATTTGAAACAAAGTGTTTAAAACAACACAACCTGTTATTATATTGATAGTATCAAAAAGTACTGAAAGCCTTTGGAAAACTGGCAGCTCTTCAGTCATATTTTCAACCAAAAGCTGTGTGTGTAGGAGTTTACCTGCAGTTTTTGGTGATAAAACAAAACAAGAAATCACCCAATATTGGGTGCCCAGGACTTCTATTTTGAAAACCCAAAAGGTATAAATGAAAATAAGCGCTGGCAGTACCTCCTAAGAAACCCAATTTTGGTTTTGTTTGGTTTTCACAATTTAAAAAAAGTGTGTCTGCCATATTTTGCATTTGCATTTCTCGGAAGGCATGCAGTTCTCGGCATAACACCGGAACTTAACTCCAAAAAAAAACCTGCCCCTACTTGACCCAGCGAGATTTAATCCACGGGTCTACTCAGCTGGAATAAATGAAGACATGTTTCCTGTGTCTCGACAATGTAAGTGCAAACCCTGCGGACACCTTAATGTGCCTGTTTTATGTCCTATTATTTACAGTATGGGCTTATCTGTCATGTTGCTGAATACGTCAAGTTACTCGGCTCGTACCCACCTCAGCATCAGGGGGTTGCTTCATTAAAGGTGATGCGTTGTGTTTCGCTTCAGGTTTAACATATTGTAACAGACTCACCCCACATGTTGGGCTCTCCAGAGATGGCTCAGGCTCCTCGGACTCGGACTTGTCAAACAGCGACGGCACTGCACTGGGCTTTAGTGTTAACTGAACCTTGTCAGTCACACCGAATTTGTTTTCAAAACAATCATCTTT